CCACGGTGGGTATGACTTTTGTACCCATACCCGCCAAAGTAGGACCCATACCCGCTCTAATTGGGGCAAGTACGGTGCAAGACCTACATTTTAATACCCACTTGCCATCCCTAGTGGTGACACGTCACTTCAAACTAAAAAAATTACCTCTTTTATAGGTTATCGATCACTTGGGACCATTTTGAGTGAATCACCCCAAACGTTCGAATTATTTAAAATAATCCAAAGTTAGGATTATTTTGAGCAAATAGACAAAAAATGCAATTATTTTTCCAATTTTTTCGACAAGATAAAGGGCTTGGTAAGGAAATACCATTCTTGAAATCTTGAAAGTTTGCTTAAGAAGTGGAGGTTCAACCCTATATCAACTTTAACAGTGAAATGTGCTATATTTCAGTAGGTTAAGCTCACCTTGGCAAAATACGTATACACGTAATTCACTGCATTATTGTTGGAAAATTTTTTAAAGAACATGGGTGAAAAAAAAGAATATTATAGACATATTTAAAAAACGCGAGCATAATATGTTCTTTGAGTTTAATCATTATGTTCTTTGAATTTGAACTATATTATATAATATGTTCTTCAATGTATGTACATAAAAAAATGTTAAATTCAACCACCTGAGTAACCATGAAAAAGAACATGTTCTTTAATATATTATCATGTTCTTTTTGTAAAGAATTTATATTCTTTGTAATGCAGAGGTGATCATTTGGCGGCCCACGCCGGGTTTGGGCCAGGGCGAGGCCTATAAATTAGCGCACTTCTCGGATGGGATAAGGTCGAGCCAAAATTCGTGCCTGTTCACATCTACTGAACTGAGCTGAATTGAACTGATTTGATTGTAGCTGAACTGAACTGAACAGAACAAAACGGATTGGAGCTGAACTGAACTAAAGTAAGCTGAAATAAATATTTTATGAGAGAGGTAAATTAGGATTTGAACTGAACTGATTGGAGCTAAACTGAATTGAACTGATTGCAGCTGAATTGAACTGAAATTAAGTAAATGTGAATAGGCCCTTCGGGCTGAAATTTTTGTGCCCAAAATGGCCGGATTGTGCGGGATTTTCGGGCCATTTTAGACTGGGAAAAAAACAACAACTAAAAATGCATAAAAACACATTCCCGAATCGCCCAAAAAAATAATTTTTTGGGTCGGGTCAGGCCTAACCCTATTTCAGGCCGAAAAAATTTGCCCAAAGACCGCTCAAAATCAGGTTGGGTTAGGCCGGGCCAACAGGTCCGGCTAAGTATGATCAGGTTTATTGTAATGCATGTCATGTTCTTTGTCAAACACAAACATGTTCTTTTGTCAAACACAGGTATATTCTTGTTCAAACACTAGTATGTTACTTTCAAACACTAGTATGTTCTTTTTTTCGTCCATATTCTTTATAGTATGACCAATATTCTTTTTGGGTGCACCATATGCATATTAGCGCACCCGGGTGCACTATAATACTCTCAGAGAAAACAAATTAGAAATGCCCTAACCCGGGCTATGAGAATACATATAAGCCCCTTATATAGCAACATAGGCTAAAAATGAAGGAACTTGGACTTCATTAAGGGATCGTTTGGTTGGGGGTATTCATCAAAGGGAATGGAATCAACTGCCTTTATTCCCTTTGTTGATGTTTTTTTGACTTTTTTTTCTCATTCCCTTTACCCTTTTCATTCCCCAAAATCCTTCCAAGTTGATTCCTCACCCTTCCCCATGTATTTCTATTCCTATTCCTTAGCCACCACCACACCACCATACCACCATCCTTCTACCTAATCCAACAACCACCGCACCCATCGTCCCTCCCCCACCCTTCACCGCCCTTCCACCACCTCTCGTCGCCTCTCATCTCCCCCGAAATCCTACCCTCACCCACACAAAAACCAAAAAAACCCTCCTACCTCCCCGTAAAACGGCCGATCGACCCTTCCACCACTCCCTAAACCCTAGAGTCTAGATTCCCCACCACTAAACCACCCCGCCGTAATCCCTCTCTGCCCTTCCCCTTTTCCCCAAAAAACCCTAAAAATTCCTCTCCTTCACCATCTTCACCATCTTCAACGACTAAGACCGACTGACACTGCATTAGAATACCCTTTGCCATCAGACTTAACTAGTTCCTCCACGCGCATCTTGAGCTGGTTGATGGTAGTAATTAATTGTATGGTGGTATGGTGGCACTTTCCTTGTCAAATGTGTATCTCTAGTCAATTTTGCAACCATTGTTGGGCTCTCTCGACGGCTAGGGTCTCGGGTGTGGGGAGAGGAGGGCGCTGGGTTGCGGTGTGGTGGTTGGGTGGTTGAGATCTTCACGGTGGTCGGAGAAAGAGGGAATTGAGAAATAAATTGGTAGTTTTGTGGTGGTTGTATGGTGGTTGTGATTTCTTTTGTTGTTTAAAACGAACAATATTCTAAATCAAATTGAATTACATTTTTTTTCCTTTCCCTTTGATGAACCAAATGACCCCTAATTAGTTTTCAATTATTTGAATTACTTTACATGTAGACCGATACTTCATTAGCCAATCAAGCAATCAAATACTTATACTAAAAGAAAACCTAAAATGACACTTGTCACGATGTCATTAAAAATTTTCCATCACTTTATTATTTCTTTATTTAACTATTATTTATATAAATATAATTATAGAAAATAAATAAATTTTACTTTTTAATTAATATAATAATTAATATTTTAGTGTATTTTATACATGTGTGATTTTATTATATAATATTATCAATAATAAGATTATATTACATAATATGCGGATTAACTAAAGATATAAATCTTATGACTGATGCAATTATTTTTCATTTTTTTTAAGAAAAGAATTAACGCAATATTTTGATTAGTGTTTAGTGTGTTGCTTATTTATAAGTGTAATTGATTTTATTGTATACATAATATTATCAATCATAAGATTCTATCATCAATAATAACTTATACTAAAAGAAAACCTAAAATGACACTTGTCACGATGTCATTAAAAATTTTCCATCACTTTATTATTTCTTTATTTAACTATTATTTATATAAATATAATTATAGAAAATAAATAAATTTTACTTTAATTAATATAATAATTAATATTTTAGTGTATTTTATACATGTGTGATTCTATTACATAATATTATCAATAATAAGATTATATTACATAATATGCGGATTAACTAAAGATATAAATCTTATGACTGACGCAATTATTTTCATTTATTTTATTTTATTTTTTTAGAAAGGATTAACGCAATATTTTGATTAGTGTTTAGTGTGTTGCTTATTTCTAAGTGTAATTGATTTTATTGTATACATAATATTATCAATCATAAGATTCTATCATCAATAACTATATACTATACGCGATACCGGGAATGACACATGTCATCTCCTAGTTAAAAAATTTCCCGCCCATATTACTTTCCTTTTTTTTTTTTACATAGATTCTTTAAGGAAATTATTTTATAATAATCCAAAATATCTTTCTTCCAATTAATATTCTTAACAATAATAATACCCTGTATACGTAGTAATTTATATCAGGTATTTTTTTTTTGTAAAACAAAGAACGTATATTAGGTAAATATTATGTACAATACTGCTCTATATTATTTTAGTTTTCAAAATACTATTATTTTTTTTCTTCCAATTTTGTTAATTTTGCAATAATGTTTGATTCAATGAAAATTAAAATCATTTTGTTTACACACACATATATTCATATATAAACACTATATTTTCTACTTTTAAAAGTCGCGTCAATAATAACGCAGCACGCGCGAGGTACTATCCTTTGATTTTTGGGAAAATTGACCACAATAATCCAACCTTTGCCTCATCCGCTCAAAATAATCCCACCTTTCAATTATTTTTTAATAATCCGACTTTTAATGCCAATTCGCTGAAAATGGTCCCAAGTGACCAGCAACCTATTAAATATTTTTTTTTTGGTTTAAAGTTTACGTGTCACCACATGATTTGTCTAAAATTTTATATTTTTTAAAAAATTAATAAATTTAGTAAAACAAAAAAAAAAAAAAAAAACCAACAGCCCACCCGCCCCCCTCCTCCAACCCTTGCTGAATTGAATCCCTAGCTACCAACGCTGGATTGAAGCCCTAGCCTCCACCGACAAATTTCTATTGTGGGTGGTTTCTCTGAAAAGGGAGGCCAAAATCGGGGCACGAGAAGATTAGGAGGCGGAATTCGAGGCAAGGGAAGAGGAGGGAGGCTGAAATCGGAACGAGGAATTGAAGAAGGGCCGGAATCGCGACTAGGAAGGAGTTTTTGAGGGTGGAGATGGTTTTAGTGGATCTTTTTGTGTGGTGGGGGTGGGAGGGTTGGTGGTTCGGGGGAGGGGGAGGGGGTCGGCAACGGCATCAGCACCGACACTGGAGAGTGGGTTTGGTTGCCGGAGTCGCAAGCAAAGGAGTTATGCGGCGGGGAGGGTGGTTTGGGTTGGTGGATTTTAAATATATATTTTTTTCTTAAAAACATTTAACTTTTGTTTTTTAAAAAAATTATACTGTATTATTTTTTTAAAATTTTTTTGACCAATTATAGGCCAACAGTGTCACGTAACTTGTTATAACAAGTTAGCTAACCGGTTAGGACCATATTTAGCTGATTGATATCAATGGTCAGATTATTAAAAAATAAAAAGGTGGGATTATTTTGGGCGGATGAGGCAAATGTGAGATTATCGTAAGCAATTTTTCCTAGATTTTTAAAATTTTTTAAAATAAAACTTCATAGACCCTTTTTCTTTTAAATCAAGTCTAAGTGTCACTAATCTTGACAGTGGTATAACTAGGTAAGTTATATTTATTTTTGAATTAGTATTATGAATATAATATTTTTAATAAAATCAATACAATAACTGTTTATAAATTTAATAACAACCGTGTGCATTACACGGGACTTAAACTAGTTAAATCATAATTCTCAAATCTATGCATATCTTTTATCATAATATTTATCATTATTGATTAATTATTATAAAGGTTGTTTAGCAATCCACCCATTTTGGTTGATAAAAGTCTGCGTATCATATTGCCTAATTGCATAAGAATCTAACTTCTTTTCCCATGAAACACGTTTTGATGTATCAGCTCCTGGACCAGTGCAATTAACTTCTGCAAATGTCACATCGTTTCTGCATTTAACACAACGCTTATCGATAAGTTTGTAAGTCATGAACTCAAGATAAGTACTCTGTAATTGTTTTAGCTCAAAAGACCAAACAACAACAACAACAATAATATAGACCTAATTAGGCCCTATTATTTAATTTAAGTGTACGCATTAGCTCATTTAACTAAAAGAGTTATGTATTTAAAGAATTTGATTATAAAAACTTACTCATGTCCACTTTGATTCCAAATGAACCATCCCTCGGGATCAACAACTTTACTGAATTTTGAGTCGATGAAAATAACTCTTGCAAAGGCACCATATACTCGTCCTAACTCAGCATGCCCTGTTCCCGAAATATCACAATTTCTAAACACATAACCACTAGTATCATTTGCCGATGGTCGACTTTGTGCAGTAATGTAACCTCCTCCCGTGACATTTATGGTGCATTGCTGAAACATACGTAAAGAGTTACGACTAAGCATATGCAAATGGTGAGGTTCAAACTTACGACCTCAATGTCACAAGGTGATTTCCCCCATCTCTATCAAACATGTTTGGTTATATATATATATATATATATATATATATATATATATATATATATATATATATATATATATATATATATATTTCCCCTGTCACTCGGGGGGTGGTGGAGATGGAATGACTAACCATCCTTCCACTCCTTGATCCTTACCTATAGACATATCTACTATACATATTACCTCTCTAATTTGTTTTTATGCAACAATTTGATTGATAGATTTGCTGCATCATAACTTTGAAATTCAATATCCATAATTCTATACCAGTAATATTAAAGAAAATTTGATAAAATTTAGATATTGACTAATCGAATACCATATTGCACACTAGCATGTGATTTTTGTATATTAGTAGTGAAAAATCAAGTTAGAGTTAATATATAAAAATGCAAAAGTTGAATTGTTGCATAAAGGCCTTGTTTAGTTCACTTTTACTTATTTCGGAAAAAATAAGTTCATATCAGATCAAATCAGAATAAATAAATTCTGATCAGAAAAAATAAGAACAAATCATCGTTTTAAATTATCATCTAAAAATGAAACCATTTTCGAACTAACCACCCGTCCACCCGTTTAATTTTTTAATTTTAAATTACTACCCCTTAAATTAAATAAATGCTAAGATTACCACTCATTTCAAAATTTCGGTGGATTTCCGTCTATAGGCCTTTCCTAACACTTATTTTGACCTTATGACTGATTTCCCCCTCGATTTTTCTCTTTAAAAACGCTTTCTAAACTTTAATTCACATTTTCTTCACCAAATTCTACCAAATTCCAAAGAGAAAAACATGAATTGAAGTTTGGAGAGCGTTTTTAAAGAAAAAAACGGAGAAAAAATCAGTCAAAAGGATCAAAATAAGCGTTCGGTGGGGCCCACAGACGGAAAATCCACCAGATTTTTGAAATGGGTGGTAATCTGAGCATTTATTTAATTTAAGGTGTGGTAATTTAAAATAAAAAATTAAACGGGTGGTTAGTTCGAAAATGGTTACATTTTTGGGTGGTAATTTAAAAATTTTCCTATATTTAATATGAATTTTTTTTTGAAAAATCACATATTAATAAAATACACATATTACTCAAATTTAACAAGACCCCACTAAATTTATTTTTTTCATATAGATTATCGTATATTTAAGGTCAAAGTTCGGTCAAATATGACATTTAGATCAGATCAAATCAAATCAGACCAGATCATATCATATCAGATCAGACCACACCAGACCAAACCAGATCAGATAAGTTCAGATAAGCAATAATAAGGCAAGCCAAACAAGGCCTTAAACATAAATAGATGAAGTAAATAGTACTGTGTATATTTATAATTTACCTCATATACAGATTGACCATTTCCAAATATAAAATCAACAGCCCCTTCAATATAACATGATTTGAAATAATGTCTACCATGATCATCCCAAAGTGTATCTTGATATCCCACAAATCCACAAGAATAAAATGCATGCTTGTCACCATAAGATCTGAGGGCAACGGCTTGAGTTCGCTGCGTATCATCTAATAGTGCTCCAATTCTAAAAGAGTTCTATTAGAACAAAATTACCGGACATTTGAGAATTAGTTCATCTATCCATGTACAAAACATTATATGTTCATATCGATTAGATTTTAATTAGTAAGAAGTACAAAATTACAAATGGATAAATTTGTAATTATATTCTTTACAAAGATACAATAAAATTCTTCATGCCTTGTTTTTTAATAATTGTAACACACATTTTTTTAATTATTTTTTTTACGATATTCAAGAAAAGTGGGGTTTATATGATTTAATACTTGTATATTTTAAAATAGGGCAAGAGGTTATTACAAGTATAATTTAGTAGGTCATGTACTTTAAATAACGGAAATAGTAAAACTTTTCCTCTAAATAACTTTAATTTCCTATTATAGTATGTTGCAAGTATTGTGACATTTTCATTTTAGGAAACTGTTACAAGTATTAAGAAACGCAGGAAGTATTTATGATAAAACGTGTAAGCCAACATAGGGTGTCCACATAAAATATTTATGCATCATTTATTTTTTGGTCACGTTTTTTTACAAAAATTTAATGGTTAGTGTACATATATGGAAATATTGAAACACACATCTATAAATATAACTAAAATAATTACCGCTGATGTTATTATTTTCTAAATGTCAACTTCTTGTAAAAAAATTTCCCTCCAAAACTAATAATGACATCATTAATTTTTTTTCAACATAAATAAAAATTTGAAAAAGCTAAATTAATTATATATTTTTCTAATATATTTTATATTTGAATTGACTAAATTATGCAATTTTCCTTAGAGAATTAAAGGAAGGTCGGACTATTTCATTTTCTTATAAACATTACGGAGTATCTTTTTCTCATACTCCATATATTTTATACAGATTAATTGAATTGCGGTGTCCACTCTTTATCAATTTATTAGATTTTTCTTAAATTATTTCTACTACGTACATATTACACACAAATAAGCAAAAAAAATATTGTTGAAGTCGTAAATTATTGTTAAACTCGTGCATCGCACGAGTCTAATCTTGTTGGTGCATAACTGCATGTCTAGTAGTAACAAAATAAGCCGCAAGAAATAAGAGTAATGAAAAAGTATGAACTCAAAATATAAGATACGGGAAAGACGGAGTACTAAATAAATGAATATAGTAACAAAATACAAAATACGGAAATTTGAATCGTTTTGTTGAAAGTCTAACTATACCTAAAAATTTACTATTGGGAAATAAAACGTGAATAATTATTTATATACGGCATAATAATCATAAAATGAAAATAAAAAGATGAATTACCTTAAAGGTGACATTCCTAGCTACAAAATTGTCGATGTACAAAGCAAGAGTAACGCTTTCTAGTGTTGAAGAATGATTATCATAGGTTATTATTGTTGAAGTAAGATCGCTACCTTCAAGAATTATACACCCTCCTTTATCTTGTTGAACTATTATCTGCTCCCTACATATACACAAATAACATCAATAATCGATCCATCTATCTACATGTTAAGTATCTAATTAAAAATGGGCATAGGTAGAAAATAAATATACAAAGTGTATTATAACAAGTATATGCATATACATTGTATGTCTGTATATACATTTCATGACTTACTTATAAATTCCGGGATTAAGCAATATTTTGATCCATTTATTATTGCCGGAAGGAATAGAATTAAAGGCATCTGTAAGGGTCGTGAAATTTGCGCCACCTGATTGTGAAACGGTGATAGTATGAGCTATTGATGTATCTTGGCATTCTGTAGCTCCAGATAACAAGAAACAAACATTCTGAAAGCTAAAATACAATGCAATTAATAGAAATAAAAACTTCATACTTGAAGGAAGAGGTTTGAATTAATATTATTGAGACAAGCTTAAGCAAGACTCAAGAGAAAGGTATTAACCGTGACTTTTACAATGTATTATGTGAAGTATTTAAAGAACAATGGAGATTAAGTGAAATAATTAGAATTGGAAACGTATCAATTAAAGTCATCAACCTATTAATTTTCATGCATGAATTTGTAACAACTAAATCATGATACTTATTATCCAATCAGCTGCTCTAATATTTTTTTAATATATATATTTCTATTAATGTCCAAAGATATATATATTTCCATTTCTGTCTATGTTATCATATACTGATTTTGTTATATTTGTTTTTCATGAAATGAATTTGTAGATACTTTTTATCCAATCAGCTCCTCTATCATAATTTTTTAATACTCTTCTATTTATGTCTATAAAAATACATCATTTCTATGAATTTGTTGCTTTGATACTGATTTGTTACATTGTATTTAGTTAAACTAATGATTTACTTCATGAATACTCTATTAGATGGTCAAATACGTAACACTTATATAGTTACTAGTTTTGTGCCCTATGCATTCTCAGGGTTCTTTATTGAATTTTAAGATAATTTTTCAATTTATATGTCAAATTTTAAAATATATCATTGATACAAATAGTTAGGAATTGATGTGTTTTTGTGACAACTTTCTATTTGGTAGGCATATAATGACTAATAATAATGTTGGTGACAATGTTTGATTAAATACATTTAAAAAAAATTGTTCAAAGCCCGTTGGCTTGACCCGAATCAAATACTTTTGGCAAGCTAGGGTTGAACATTTCTTGACCGATAACTTGAAGTGACCTTATCCAAAATGACTCATGATCAGATCCTGATTGACATTTCTGAAGGATTTATGTCTTCGATAAGTGCAATTACTAGATATATTAGGGATCACTATTATGGAGATAATAAGTTCGTTCTTTTGGGTCGTCATTGTTTGGTACTAGATATGACAAATGATCTTTGGGCTAGTTAAATAATCCAAAGCCCAATAGAATAGATCCTATAAGCTCACATAACAAGGGTATTGGGTTAAACAAGTAAGAGGCCCATTAATGAGCCTTATGAGATTATGACATACCATATGGAGTGTTGGGATAGAGGTTTTTGACCAAGCTTAGGAGTTTGGACTTGACATGGGCTCTTATTTAGAGTTATGATCTATAAATAAGATCTATGCCTAGGGTTGACATAAGTCACAATTAACAGTCAGTCAATTGTGAAACAAGGCAACTAGTATTCCAAACCCTAATCCATCTCTCTCTCCTCACATACACGGTTCTCTCTCCTCTCCTTCACGTCTGTACGGCCGGCCACCTCGATTAAATACTTTTAAAAAAATGTTCAAAGCCCGTTGAGTTGACCTGAATCAAATACTTTTGGCAACGGTTGAACAATTAATTCTTGACCGGTAACCTGAAGTGACCTTATCCAAAATGACTCATGATCCGACTCTGATTAATATGTCTACATAGTAATAAAATCAATTAAACTGTGAACTATATTATTTCAATCGATTAGAATACAGCAGTGATGTTTTACATTTTGAACTACTTCCTTCGCTCTAAAAAATATTATAATAAGGAAAATAAATTTATATGATACTTATTGAGAAATATAATCTAATATTTTTTTGAATAAAATTATAATTCAATTTGTACATATGAAATAGTGGTATTTTATCAAAAATAAAATTCTAAATTAACAATTTTATCCTAAAATTTTATGCAAATTTGATTGAAAATAAAATTTTAAACTAATTTTTTATCCTATAAAGCCTATCTAAATCTATCCAACGTGGCATAACACTTGGCGAAAAATTGAAATGCCAAGTGTCGCTATCTCGTGGCCTGGCTAAAAGTTTAACTTTATATATTAGTTACGATTTTTTCATTTTCTCTGAACATCTAAGAAAATGAAAGTTACACGTTAAGACTTAAGAGAATGGTTATACATAATAACATGCCTCTTTGATTTTTCTTATTTTTTTTCTTTCTTTTCTACCTCTCTAGATCCATCATTTGTATAAAAATATTGGCATTTTATTGAAAACAAAATTCTAAACCAAAAGTTTTATTGGAAATAAAATTGTAAACGGAAAGTTTTATCAAAAATAAAACTCTAAAATAACTTTTTTGTTATCCTACTAAACAGTAAACACTAAGTTTCATATGTGGCTGGCCGCACCTTACGGCCAGCCGTAATATATATATATATATATATATATATATATATATATATATTCTCTTTCTCTTCTGTATCTCCTATTCTCTTTCCAGTTTTCTTCTTCCCACTTAAACACACCCTTTTCCCGAACTCTCTTCTATCTTTCCTCTCTCTCTCCTCTTTCTCTCTCCTATTTTCATCTTCTCTAGTTAGCCTAATCAAATTAAACAAGTTAAATGGAGCAGCGGTGGTAGGGGGTAAGGAAGCTCCTCATACTTCGTCGCCGAAAAACAAGCTAGGGGTTTTTAAGGCCAAATTCATCCATGAAAACTTTGGTAGTGGGTTCGGTTTGGTGGATCTGGGCTTGCTGATTTTTGTAAGGTTTGGTTGGATCTAGGAGTGGTTGTTAGTGGTACGGGAGTTGGTGGTGGTGTGGTGGAGTTTAAGGTTTTGAAGACGGCGGTTGAGAAAGGTTGGTGTTGGTGGTGGTTACGGTGGGTTTGGGTGTGGGTTAATGGTTACTAGGTTGGTCAGGGGTTACTTGGGTTACTAGGTCGGGGTTACTAGGTAGGGGGTTACTAAGGGTTACTAGTTCGACTTGGGGTTACTAGGGGTTACTAGGTTAAGGGTTACTAGGTCGGGGGTTATTAGGGGTTACTAGGTCTGTCGGGGGTTACTTGGTCAGGGGTTACTTTGTCTAGGGGGTTACTTGAGGGGTTATTAGAGGGGTTACTTAAGTGGTAATATTTGAGGGGTTACTGATATTGCACCTTGTCGCACCGTGTGGCTGGCCGCACCAAAAACGTGCTGCCTACTACATCATCTAAATTTTATTGAAAATAAAACACTAAATAACTTTTTTTATCCTATATATTAAATCTATTCAAGTTTTTTATCCAATTCAACAAAAAATATATTTCAATAAATCCTACGTGTCATATTAATAATGAATTATCACCTACGTGGCACGACACTTGGCGAAAAGTTGGAATGCTAAGTGTCGCTGTCTCGTGATCTGACTAAAAGTTTAACTTTAGATATTATTTATATGATATGAATTGTGTAATCACTTTTTAATTACTCGCCTTTCAATTATCAAAACTCTCAATTAATTATTATTGCATGAAAAGCAAATAGTTATATAACTATAAGTAGTTTAAAATAATTTATTTTTTAATGGAGTTTTAAATAATTTTATTTGACCCAATACAAAATTAGCTTCATAATATAGTTATTTAAAATATATTTCTACTTTCAAAAACTACTACTTCAAAATGTTGTAAAAATAATTCATCAATGCCATTTGTACCTTGCATTATTTCTTCCTCCAATGCATATAAATTGATGAATTGTAAAAATTTCATATCATTATTGCAGGTTAATTGTATCAAGTATGATTATTAGGATAAAACTTAGCTTTATATTATGTATTCATTGATTCTTCGCTTGATTGCATACTTGATCTAGTAAATAATACAGATTAACATTAACATATGATTGCTCATAAGATTTTTGTAATTGATTCCAAAATCATTTATACAATCTAACAGAATGTTATAATTATTGAATATTATTATCTTTACTGCAGTTTTTTTTTTGACAACGGTCGGTCCAAAAAAGAAGGTTAGTTCACAACTGATTCGATACTACATTGAGCCAACTTAACTCTCTTAACTATACTAGTACAAGTGCTAAAAGGGGATTTGGGGCACAAACATTGTGGATTGATTGATAATACAAAGAAGAGGGTTGAGGAGATCATCGCCAGTACTAGCCATAAGTTGTTCCACACTTGATCCCTGATGTTTCTTGATCCTGCAAAAACAGATTTTGTAAAACCTTTTACCTTTCTTGTTATTTACCTTTGAGCTGATAGGCCTTTTAATTCTTCCTTCACAAAGTAGAAAACTTGAAAGTAGATAGTGGAGGATGAGACTACACTTGGTCGGGCTCAAAATTCACGGAGTCTCCATCATTAGAACCTACGGATTCCACTTCAACAATGTCAATGGTAGTTAAAACTCTCGTAGCATCTTTACTCCCTCTTCGATACTTGAACCCTCGTTGCTGCTAGAGGTTAGGAAAGTAGATAAATGATCATATATCTAACTTCTCTATGGCAGCGGTGTTGGGCTTGGGAAGCCCAACAACATGGTTAACCACGACGGTATCAAAAGATCGCTTGACCTTTTTCTTTTGGCTCTTCCTAACGCGATTGCTTTGTGAGCTTCAAGATACCCGTTATGGGTGGTCTTTTCTTTCACTCGTACAATCATGTATGAAATAGCAGAACCTTTGAAGAAACTCAAGGAATTCCCTTGATTGAGATCTGAGTATGAAAAATCGGAAATCTTAAGGGACTTATATCATATATTCATTAGTTTGGTTGATAAGGCTCTGGATTTTAGGGGGGCTAGTGGCATTCTCTTCCCCCTTAAGGCTCTCTAACCTCATCTCACTAGTAGCATCTATAGTAGTTAAGTGTGTAACATCACTCTGAGCATCACTGCTAGGCAACATGTTAGGTTCTAGATTACAAAAGGGCTAGTTGATCTTTCCCTTTTTATTGGAAAAGGCGTAGGATGGGTCGGAATCTTCAATTCCCCTCTTGCCCTTGAGCTTACTAGCTTTGCTTCTAATATTTTCCACCGTTTTCGTCTCACGGAGGATGTCTTGGTTGTTAGTGTAACATCCCCAAATCTTCTTCTAAGAAAATATTGGTATAATACGTATAATTATACCATAGCGATAGACTTATTAGGCGTATTACCACCGCGTGACTACGCAAAGCTACTCAAAATACTTAACTCGATAACAAAACTTGCAGCGGAAACTCAACTTTCTTTTATTAATACTTATAAAAATTGTAACATTGTTATGACTAATCAAAATAAGGACAAAACCAACATCTTATACTAGGTGAAGCAAATCTCGAGACTCCTATATGCTCATTAATGACTCCATCTGAAAATAGTAAACACTGCTTACCATTAAGGTAAATAGGGTGAAGCAAAACAAAAACAAATAGGAAATATGGATTAGAAAAATATGCTAAGTACGATAAGTACAAGATAATATAAACTCTATTTATTTGCAAGCATGTTTTTAAATCCAATTCCAATTATTAATCCAATAATTCCATAATTCCAAACTCATTATTCAAAACGAATTTCAATAATTCCATAATTCAATAAAACGATTAATAAAACCAATTCCTCTTTTTAAATCCAATTCCTCATCCAAGCGTGCACCCCCCCCCCAAGCTAGTCTCCTTATATTGCAAGACTATTATTGAAGAAAGACTCGGTCATACAAATTTCAGAGTCTTATCAACCAAATCCGCATAGTGGGATTACTATCAACATGCTTGTAAAGCTTTATATAATAATAATAATAATAACAATAATAATAGCAATAATAATAATAATAATAATAATAATAATAATAATAATAATAATAACAATGATAATAATAATTCAATAAATCCTTTTTAATTCAATAATTCCAATCTTTATAACAACCAACTCAAAACACCCTTTTATTTAATTCAACATGCTTTCAAAAATCAAACCTTTAAAATGTGATAAATAATTTCAATTATTCAAAACATGATATAAAAATCAATCCTTCAATTTAATTATTAAACCAATTATTTAAAAATGCTTTTATTTCATAAATCATAATTCAATTCAATTTAATTCAATCATCATAAAAATCATATAAAACATGCTCATTCAATCCAATAAATTTCAAAGATATCTAGCCACCTAAATGTACCATGATTCTGAATATCAATCAACACTTCGCACTTTCAAAGTTCAATCACAAATACACCTTGCAATGAACATAACCATAAGGTTATCACAACACCTTTAGACATAAACTCAAATATAATGTGCATGGACTATAAAACTTATTTAAAAATAATACTTTAATATAAAATTATTGCTTTGAAATAATTATTTATATTTTAGAAAACTAACCATGAAGAAAATACCTCGTCGCCCTTAGCGGCTTTCTCATGAACAAAATGAATGTCCATCTCAATGTGTTTTGTGCGTTGATGTTGCACAGGATTCCCAGAGAGGTAGATGGCACTCACATTGTCATAATAAACGAGAGTTGCTTTCTGAATAGGAAAATAAAGCTCAAGTAATAAATTTCTAATCCAACAAAAATCAGAAACCACATTAGCAACTCCACAGTACTCAGCCTCTGCACTTGATTTTGACAGTGTAGGCTGCCGTTTAGAGGACTCGGATATCAAATATCACCAATCAAAACATAATAACCTGAAGTAGATTGCCTGGTATTGGGGAATCCCCCCAATCCGCATTGGTATAAGAGACAAGTCTATCAATGGAGGACTTATACAGATTCAAACAATAAAACAAAGTACCTTGTAAGTAACGTATAATACACTTCAAGGCACCCATATGCGCATTGCGTAGATCATGCATGTGAAGGCAAACCTGTTAAACTGCATATGAAATATCAGTAAAAGTGAGGTATTGAAGAGCACCTACAAGATTCCTATACTTATTCGGATCCTCATATGGAGTATCATGAGTGGCACTAAGCTTGAATATTGTGTCAACAAGAGTAGGACAAGAGCTACAATAGACATGCCAGCCCTATCAATAATAGAAGCATCATACTATTTCTGGGATAAAAACATACCATTAGCATTGCGAGTCACAAAAATGCCCAAAAAGAAGCTTAGTGGACCTAAGTCCTTCATTGCAAATTTGGAACTCAAAAAGGCCATAACATGTTTTCACAGACGATCATAAGATGCTGTGAGAATGATATCAACATATAACATAATATAAGCAATATCATATCCTTTCCTGTAAATGGACAAAAAGTTATCAGATTTACTGTTAGTAAATGCAATAGATGTGACATAATCTGCAAATTGTTGATACCAAGTCCGATGAGTCTATTTCGCAACAAACACACATGATCAGGGCGACTTTTGTCGCAAAAACCCATCGGCTTATGCATATAAACTATCTCATTGAGATAACTATGGAGGAAAGAATTCTTGAAATCCAATCGATGGATGGGCCAAGAGTGAGATAAGGAAATGCTGAGAACAGTACGAATAGTGGCCTGTTTGACAATCGGACTGAAAGTCTCATCATAGTTAATATTCTGCTGCTGAGTCTTGCCATCACCTACAAGACGGGTCTTATACCTTTCAAAAAAAACCATTAGAATTTCGTTTGTGATGAAAAATCCACATATAAATAAAATTCACATTAGGGGGCTAAGGTACCAAATCACATGTATGATTATCAATAAGAGCATTATATTCATCTAACACTGCACTCTTCTAATTAGGGTCACAGATAACACCAATCAGGTCCTTTAGTATAGGAGAAATGGTGGTAGTGGTGGTCGTGTTTAAATTGTTAAAGTACTTTGGGTTAGGTTTAATAATGCCATCCTTAGCTCGTGTACTCATAGGATGAGATGTGGTGGCTGGCTGGCTAATGGTGGGAGTATGGTGGTTTGGCGAGACATGGTCGGCATAGGGTGACACAGGAGGTGGGATTGTGATAGTTGGGGAGCTGGGAGTCATTAAAGGGGAATGATCATCACTTCTTAAGGAACTGGTGATTGGACTGTCAAATAAGGGAGGCCCAAAAATGGGTGGGTGATGAAGGGAGGGCTGTAGCGGGCAACTGTGACAGTACCTAGAGGGGTTGGGCCAGAGGAGGAGTAGGCACCAAACGAGGGGGGAGGTCCAGACCGCACATTAGGAGGTGTGGGCTGGGCTGGAGAATGTGGGGGTTTGGGTTGAGTGGTGCGCAAATGGGGAGGGTGATCTGATGGATTAAAATCCAAAGAATCATAAGCATCAGATTTCGGTGTGTGAACTTTTGAGAACGGAAATTCGTTTTCAATAAATTTCATATGCCTACAAATGGTTATTTTGCCATTGGATAAGTTGTAGCACTTCGAACCACAATGACTTGGTGCAGGGCCAAGATAGACAAAAGGTGTGGACCGTTCTTGTAATTTATTAATAGTAGTATAGGGGAAAAGGGGAAAATGTAATAAGCAAACCAAGACACCTAATTCCGAATAGATTGGATCACGTTGGTATAAAACTTAAGTTGGAGACTTAAAACCTAAGACTTTGGTCAGAAGGATGTTGAGAAGATAAGTATCCATAGCTAGAGCATGATGCCAAAGTGAAAATGGCAAAGAGGCATAAGCAAGAAGGGTCTGAATGATGTTATTTATTGATTTTATGTGGCATTTAGCTTTTCCATTTTGAGGAGATGTCTAAGGACAATAAAGACAACAGAGCATGCCATGGTTTTCAAAAAAACACTTTAAGAGAACTGTTAACATACCCGGTGCCATTATCACATTGAAAAGTCTTAATGTTACTGTACGAAATATTTCAAGCATTATCCCTAAACTTGAACCCCACTGTGATCATACACTTAAGTACGGTGGCGTCCAAAGGGAAAGAAGATAGAGCAAAAGAGTCGCTAACAAGTTTTAGGAACTTGTAAACCGTTCGCAGGGTGAAGGTTACACCCCTTAACGATCCAGGAGATCGTTAACTCCAATAGGTTTGGAACCATGATTGGAAGTTCGGGGATAAAAGTACAAATCCAACCTAAAAGAGATTGAACCTGCCCTAATAATAGGCCTTTACTTTATTCTGATCGTATTCATGTGCGCTTTCTGACTAACATGCAATCAATAGGTTTACCTTAAACCTGTTTATCTATGTTGGTTGAATTTAATGCACAAATAAACTATTATTGGCGATCACGTGAATTATAATTAAATTAACCCTAAACAAGATTATTAATTATCTTATTAAGCATGATTACAAGTACCAATTTCCTTTAAACATGCATAAAAGGTGTGATCAAGCAATAACAATAAATATATATCAAGCAACATAATAATAATCATAAATAATAATAATTATAAAAATAATAATCATGTTAAAGCTTAATAATAGCAAGATCCTAGGCATGATACTAACAAGATTAATAACAAACCCTAGCATGTCACTAAACATATAAAAATCAAAGCTTAGCCCTAACATGATACTAACATGAATATTAGGAAGAAAATAGGAAGCATCGCAAGAATCACAATTATCATATTTGATATTAGAAATTATAGTTATTATCCTAAACATGATACTAGGAAAATTAAAACGCCCTAACATGATGCTAGGAATCATAATAACAACCTAAGCATGATTTCTATATCATAATATCAATAAACCAATTAAAGCACTTACTTGGATGCCTCGTATCTCTTTCTAATAACAAAATACACGCGTTAGTAACTTCAAGGAATAATAAAACAAATAAATTAAATAATTAAAAGAGAGGTTTGGGACCAAACCATCAGAAATTAAAACCTTTCACGTCTAGGGCGAAGGCAACTTCGAACTTGGCTAGGTGTTTCTAGATCTTGTGAATGCGGAATTTTATTTGAGAAAGGCTAGTTTAGAAAAGAGAAAGAAAAATCAAGAG